CCAAAACCCCAAAACCCCAAAACCCCACAGATGTATCATAGATTTAATTTAAGAAATTATAATTAATAAAAGGAATAATAAGTCCGTATAGTTAATCTTCATTGTAAAGCTGGGAGACTTGAGAAGCCTGTATGTAATGCTTTATGTTTGAATAACTTCTAAGATGCACTTCTCTCTCCTATTTACTTTATCTTGGTAATGTTTTTCAGTTTTTGCTGAGTCAAGTAAAACTATGATTACTTATCACCAGCCGTATCATTCCTAGTGGTCTGGAATCCTCTAGTGCTTTCATCAATGTTTGAGAGCATCTCTCCTTCTCGTTTAGAGGCATCAGTGCCTATATTATTGGCATGCATTTCAGTATCATGATCAAAGCCAGAAGCGAATAAACTCAAACTGTGATTATGAGCAGTGATACTCCCAACATTTTTTACCTTAGCACCTATAGTGTGATCCGTCTGGATTCTATTCAAGATCTTTGAGAATCCTTTGCCAAGTCTGGCTATTCTGTCTTAAGAATCCTTTAATGGTAGCTTTTACCAGGCTTGGTAATCTACTACAGAGCCATTAAGATTATTGATATTCTTATCGCAGCTGAGGCAATGGTATCCTTTCTTGGCAAACATAGCATCATCTTCATCCTTATTAGTTGTTTGCATCAAATTAAGAGCTTAATAGAGGCTTGATATTGATTTCTACAGTCTATCCACCACATTATTAATGTAAATTTTATCAACAAAAGCGCCTAGAGTCTAATTGATATCTTATCTAAACTAGGTCAATTGATTTTCCTTGAATATCTCAAACTAATCAGCATCTAGCTTCTTCTAGACTTGGTTGTGAATGCTTTCGAAATTGCTTTAGACCTACTTCAGCTGCTAATTATATGACTCTTTCATTTTGGTAAATTACTAAGTAGTATCTTTTATCTTTTTGTTAATTTCTTCATCATCTAAGGCTCCTGGCTTTATAGACGAATTATGTCCTATTTTAAATTATCAACTTCGAATGATTTATAAATACTTCTAAGATTAGGATTAAAAACAAGACTCTTAATTTCATCAACCTATTCTTTTTGCTTTCTAAGATTTTGCTCATGCCCTTCAACCTAAATTTAACTTAAAGTTCTGAGAATATTTTGGTTTTTTTCTTATATTACCTTGGGAACTAAATCATTGATGATCCTATTATGTTCGCTCTGATTGAAGTTTAGATTTCTAATAAGCATTTCGAATTCCTTTATATCTAGCTTATTTCTATCATTAGAGACTTGCAAATCATCTATTTGACTTTTTTCTGGTAGCAGTGAGCACTTTTCATCTAGCTTCTCAACCAAATCTCTCATATCCTTGAGTCTCTCAAACTTTTTCTGTAGATTGATGCAAGCAATCTCACAGCTCTCAATCTTTTTAAATGACTCCCGCATCTCTATAATATCTGAAGACTTCATTCCACTTTTTTGAGCATTTTACATTTGGAGTTGCAATAATTGCTACCTCATATTTTCATCAACTCTAAATTATTGAGCTAAAATAATGTTACCCTGAATTATTCTAGTTAGGTTATCCTGAAAAGACTATCTGCTTGATTTTATCTAGTTCCTCGTCAAATATGTCACAATCAAGTTTAGTTCTAAGTTACTCCTCTATAGGAATCATTTTTGCTTGAAACTCTCTCAATTAAGTTTCAATTTGCTAGGGATTTATTTTGGCTATTGAACTCATACGTAATTCTGTCTGATCTCTGAATTTTTCAAACCTATCTTCAAGTACATCCAGATCTTCTTTGGCAGGAAACTTTTCTCCAATAATAGACATAATTTCCTCTACATAATTCTTCTGCTTAGAATTCTAATAATCTCCAATTCTCTCTAGAGACTTTAACCTAGAAGTAAGGTCTGCTAACACATCTTTAACAGTGTCTATTCTACCATTCATGCTAGATTAGCCCTCCTTCAGATTGTATATTTCTAACTGCTATTAGTTTTACATGTCCACAATACTCGTCAAGTGCTTTTTGCTGGCAGCAGTCAAATCGTAAACTATAGATAATCCTTATACTTTAAAGTTTGATTACTATCAGATACTCTTTCTACTTAGCCTTCGAATCTCTCGCTTATATCTTTGAACTTATCTTTGAGAGTTTTGAATTCCTAAGTTATTCTGTAAGAAATAAAAAAGTAAAGAAAATATTACTCTTGACTTTACTCCGCTCTATCTTAGAACACTCTGGTTGTTTAGTCCATATGGTCACTCAGGGTAATTAGTATTTTCTCAACTACCTCTTTGAGATTCTCCTGGTTGTAAGTAACATTGACTAATTTGGATAGAGGGGTGTTTTGCAAATTTAGTCTTGTGACTGCTCTTTCAAGACTCATTTCAATTATTTTAGAATTAATTTGCTATTTTATTTGTTTCTAATGTATCCACTCTAATAATTATAGTAGTTGAATTGCGGGGTTTTGGGGTTTTGGGGTTTTGGGG